GAGTAGTTCGACGCTGCCACTCACAATTAGAAAGATTCTCAAGTTGATAAGAGAGAGTGTCATCCTCCATTAATCAGTAACATTCCACCAACCTTCCTCTGTGCTCATTTAAATTAAGGACAGAAATAATTTTTTTTTTTTTTTTTTACTCTTGTTTCATGTTTTTTCTGTCAGAATACGTGGACAGCAGCATCCAGTACATAGCCCTGTTCATTTCGGTGACAGTTTGCAGCATCTTTTGTGTCGTTCTCGTCCTCTGCTACTTCAGGTACAAAATGCCTTTATGAACATTATAAACTAATACATTCATACTTGCTAAACCAATCCTTCTTTCCCTCTCCATGGCAGATATAAGCGACAGACATCGCGGCCGCCCTACAGTATCGACCTGGAGCAGGATGAGACATACATTCCTCCAGGGGAGACACTGAAGGATCTGATAGAGCATTCCCGCAGCGCCGGGTCCGGGTCTGGATCAGGTCTCCCTCTGCTGGTAGCAAATAAAAACAGCGTCCTAAAATGTCTTGGCATGTTTAAGTGTAGGTTAAATTTGCTCATCTAGAAAGACAAAGGATATTTTCAGTGAGTGGTCTATTTAGATCCCGAGTGCTGTTGTAAGAAGAGGTGATGCAACCCAGTTGTAAAGAAGTCTTGTTTTGCATGATTTTCAAACCATTTCATCATAAAATGTTCATAAAATATTAATTGTAAGAGCCTCCAACTGTAACACAACTAATAGGAATCACCAAAAACATAAAACATGCTTCACATTTTCAAAACCTTTTACAAATGAAAGTCTGAAAAGTGTCCCACACATTTAGGCTTAGTCGGCTTTACTCTGTGTTTTGGGTGCGAGTGAAAGATATATATATATATATTTTTTAAATTGTGCTCTTGCCTTCTCCTGTCTAATTCCACAATGTGAACTCATATCAGAAACTGCCATTGGTACACATGCAACCAGATCCACATGTAGAATGGTCTAGTCAAAGCCCAAACCTAAAAGGCAAGTGAGAATCCAAAGGCAGACATAAAAACCCATGTTCGCAAATTCTCTCCAGGACTTTCTAGATGTGACAATCTTCTAGAGATAACTCTAAACAACTTGTAGCTGTAATTGCAAGAGAGCATTGACTCGGGGGAGCTTTAGATTTAAAAATGTTCTACCTTGTGTTTATTACAAAAAATAAATAAATACCCACAACATACATAGAAGTTTGTAATTATAACTCAACAAAATATGAAAACCGTTTGGAAGAAGCTGAAGAAAACGAAACTGCTTGTGTTCCGTCGAAAGGTTCAGCGGACCATCGCCAAGCAGATTCAGATGGTTAAGCAGATCGGAAAAGGCCGATATGGAGAAGTGTGGATGGGCAGATGGAGAGGTGAGAGAGTGGCCGTCAAAGTCTTCTTCACAACCGAGGAGGAGAGCTGGTTCAGGGAAACGGAAATTTATCAGACCTTCCTGATGAGGCATGACAACATACTGGGTAGGTCGACAGAACCCAGAGGGTTTTCTGCTGGCGCTTGCTCCTCCTCCTCCCCTCATCCAGCCCGTATCGTCCGCAGGATTCATCGCAGCTGACATTAAAGGAACCGGCTCATGGACTCAGCTGTACCTGATTACAGACTACCACGAGAACGGATCCCTGTATGACTACCTCAAGTCCAACACCTTAGACGTCAGCGCTCTGCTGAAGCTGGCTTATTCCTCCATCTCAGGCCTTTGCCACCTGCACACAGAGATCTACGGCACACAGGGCAAACCTGCTATAGCGCACCGAGACCTAAAGAGCAAAAACATCCTGGTGAAAAAGAACGGCTTCTGCTGTATCGCCGACCTGGGGCTTGCTGTCAAGTTTAACAGGTAGAAGAGTTGTTTCGATGCAGATTATTGGAAGGCAGAATAAATGCATCCTGAAGCATAATTGTGTTCTCATTGTGCCTTTCAGCGACACCAATGAGGTAGACATCCCTCCTAACCTACGAGTTGGGACCAAGCGCTACATGCCGCCTGAAGTGCTGGACGAGGCCCTGAACACGTCCACCTTCCAGTCCTTCATCATGGCTGACATGTACAGTTTTGGTCTCATTCTTTGGGAAGTGGTGCGGCGATGCACCTCTGGAGGTCAGAAAAAGCGTACTTTAGTCATCAGAACTCATTCCAGTGCTTTTCTTTCTTTCTTTTTTTTGTTTTTGCTAATGATGACAGAGGACATTGACTTTCGTACAGGTGTTGTTGAAGAACATCAGCTGCCCTACCACGACCTCGTGCCCACTGACCCTTCGTATGAAGACATGAGGGAGGTGGTCTGCATTAAGAAGCAAAGACCTTCCATTGCAAATCACTGGAGCAGCGATGAGGTAACTATTTATGTTTTTGATTGCTATCAGCTGCCAGCCTCCAATTTAGTAATGCAAATGTGCATTCTGCTTTGGGAGGATTTTATGTTGGAAGTTAAGAGAAAGAAAGTGCTTCACTTTACCTAACCTCTAATTTTATTAAGTTGGACTTTAGCTCAAATAAAACCTTTTTACAGCAATAGCAACATGTAAAACTTTTATTCCTCCATCTGTGTTTCTGAACTCTTTATTCTTCCTACTCCTACAAAGGTCTGCAGACAAACTAACTGTTAGTACCTCAGTTTTAAGAAAATATTTAGAATTACATTTTGTTTTAGGTTTAATGTGCGTTTATAATCTTAACAAGGATATATTTTTCAAGGTGCAGGATTTCACTTTGATATAAAGCATTTTTGTTAAATGTTATGTTTATTTTTAATTGGAGAATAACAAAATCACCACATTTTCTTTCAGAGGGAGATTTTTTTTTTTTTGTTCTTTTAATTTATGCGACCATTAAATATTTGTTGTTAGAAGGTCGTATACAGCTATATCACCATTGTCATCCCTTGTAAAGATGTGAATAGAGGCTATAAAATGAATTAATCTTTTAGTGCTCTAGCATAATCTCTCACTTGAAAGAATACGGCTGTTCTCTAACATCTTTTATTACTGCAGCGTATTAACGGTGAGCTTCTGAGATTTTTTATTTTATAGTTTTTGCTTCTTTTATCATCCTTCTGTAAGGATGATAAAAGCCTTATGTTGCCATACTGCTAGTTGTCTTAAGCTGTAAAGTTATTGGTCTAATTTTAGTAATTAGATGAGTAGATATTTTCCTGTTGCCATTTTCTGTCTTTTACTGCCATAAAAGAAATGTTTCTTTTAAGGCCTTTTAGACATGACTAAGAAAAGCTGCTGGATTAATTTGTAGCCTGATGAGAATTACATTTATTTGTTTTTCTGTTCTGGTATTTCTAACTTGACATTGATGCGTGTCTTCAGTGTCTACGGCAGATGGGGAAACTGATGTCAGAGTGCTGGGCTCACAACCCGGCTTGTCGTCTCACAGCCCTCCGGGTGAAGAAGACCCTCGCGAAGATGTTAGAGTCCCAAGACATCAAACTGTGACAGAGAATCAGAGAGATGCTTTCTTCTCACCTACAGACTTGTCACTGCCACTGGCACAGACCTCTTAAAACGACCAGTCGGAGAAAGGGAAAATAAGAGACTGTGAATGATCGGACAAAAAAAGACACCGGCACGCAGGATAGGCGATAATGGCGCCAGGAAGAATGTCAAGAAAAAGATTTAGCAGACGTTTGTCCTCAGACTAAGAGATCAGATTGTGCTTTCTGTGAAAGCGGAGTGTTGGCCCGGCCAAAGATCGTCGGTGTGGGTGGGGAGCGGCCCTGCAGGTTCCAGTGAGGATGCCGCTGCAGCCCCCTTCCTGAAGCCATACAGCAGTATTCTGAGCAGTCTTTTGTGCTGTCACAACTGCCCTTTATGTGTTTGAGTGATTTTTATTTCCATGAGCTTTGTGAGACTCGTTGCATGGAGAGTTCACATTCAACATGATGGTAGCTTCAGCCTAATAATTCTAAGACAAGTGACCTCATAGTCAAAAAGAATATTGAATATATAAATGTATTTTTTATTTTGTAATTTTGTTCCCCATAATGTATTTTTTAAGTTTATTTTGTTTCAAAATTAAACTAAGATCTTCTGAGCTTTCCAAGCCAAGTCTGTCATCTTTGTATCATTTTTAAATTGCATTCAATTTTTACAAAGTTCATCAGAACTTGTTCAATAAAAAATGCCACTCTGAAACCATGGGCAGAATGACGCAACAAGCCCCACATGTCCCCAAAACGTAGAGGTTTCTTTCCAGAACTTTGAGATTACTTTCAGGTACTTTCCCAAAACGTTTTGTGGAACGCATTAGTTACTTTTCAATGTTTTCCAGGTATCTTACAAATGCAATGGGATTTGCTGGTTTTTTACCTTCCCTCTGCTTCTTTTAGACGATGCCTTGGTGTGCTTCCTTTGGCTGTAAAAGCTGTTTATGTAAAAAAAAAAAAAAAATCTAACTTGCCAGTAAGGTGAGCGTTTAAGTTCGATCCTTTCTAGGTTTTACTCTCGTCACAATTTCTGTGCCTCAAGATGATTATTCAACGCCAAACAAACTGGCCAATCATAAGGCGGACTGATTTGTTGCTGCTCCACTCTCCTCTAGATGTCGCCTTCTTAGCGCAATTTCTTTACCACAAGCTGATTGCTCAATGAAAAATCCAACTGAAAGATTATTTTCCTGCGTCCCAGATGTACTCTGGGTTTATTTCAACAGCGCTTTAGACGGCCACTCCACTTTAAGCTGATTGGTCAGTTTGGGTTCGTTCTACCTTGAGGAAATAAATGATTCTGTTGCATCTCTGTGCATTAAAGGTGATTAGGCAAAAAAATATATATATAACCAGCTAATCAGAAAAGAGATGGACCTGCTGCGTAGCATTTACCCACTAGTTGTCCCTCTATTAGCCTAATTTCTGTGCCCCAAGCTAGCTATGTTAGCAAACTGGCTAATCAGAACCAATAATTTTCTGTCACTTTTCAGCTCTAGATTGACCAGTTGGGTTTGCCACCGTCCACTCAGTTTGAGACATAAAAATCGTGAGGGAAATTTACACTTGGATCTCAAGAAGCAGATCCAAGCAGTGGAGTTTCACATTTTTATTTCTGCTTTGCCTGTAATCATATGGTAAGCTACACAAAACTGTATCAACAACAACAACAACAAAAAAAAAACCCTTTTCTACAGATACACAAACCTGACTTTCTCAGGAATTTTATTTCATAATGTTACAAAGTTGGATTTACAAGTACAAAAATGTTTGGCCAAAATTTGTGCCCACAGGATAACAATCTCCTCTGAAACATTGCTCTGCAGTTTCAGAAATTCAAACAAGAATGCTTCATTTATATTGTTGCATATAAATATAATTTATTATCAGTCTTAAAAATTCTTTCTTACACTTTGTACAGTAACTCGACAGATGAAACGCAAGCGAGGAACATCATGAGTGCCAGAAACAAACAGGCTACATTCTCGCTATGCACAACATTAATCATGAAGCTGAAGGACAATCAGGTAATGCAAAGGCTAGCCCACTGATAAATGAATAGATTGTTTCGAAAGGATGCAGAGTTTGCATAGACAGCTTTACAAAAACTTGGACAAATACATTTTGGAAAAAAGAAAAAAAAAAGAACACTGGAAAAGTCGCAAGTTCTCGCTTCATTAAAGGAATGTCGCATTTATAGCTATCAATAATTAATATGCACATGACCAGCATCATCACGACACTGATGGCTTCTGTCGTTTAATGTACAAACTTTCAAATCAGTTAAAATCTCAGCCTTTGTCTCAAAGTGCTGGAGAATGTGATTCGACTTCAAACACGAAGCAAGACGAGACTTAACTGATTAACTTTCAGGCTAAACTGACCCTCACATCTTACGTCTCCATTTTTTTTTTGGTAGAAAGCAGCTGTTTCCAGCCACATTGGTCCTACAAAAATAAAGTTGTTTGATCACAGGATCGAGTTGTGGAAATGATTCTATCTGATCATAAAAGTCATTACTGTCATTGTTATTTTGTTCTTCTGCATGGGATATTATGTAGGCTTCCATACCAAATCTAATTTCTAATTTAAAAAAAGGGGATAACCAGGGGAGGAGCTTTGAAAAATAATAATAATAATAATAAAAAATAAGATTAGAAATAACCAAAATGTTGTGGGGAAAAAAAGTTGCATACATAATAAAAACTCAATAATAATATATAACACTAAATAATAGCAATTATTATTACAACAGATGTGAAAATGTTCTTTATCCCTTTGTTTTTCTGACTCTTACTTCCGTGAGTGTCCACCAGGTGGTGCTGTGACACAAAGAAAGAAAATGCAACTAAATTAAAGGATTCTGCAACATACTAACAGGCAGAATGAAATAAAAAAACAAAAAACAAGCAACAAATATGTATATTGTTAAATACTGTGTTATCAAGGATTGCAGAATATTGACTTTGATGGCTGAGTGTTGCTCTCTCTGAACCCAGTCCTCCTCCTTTGATCCACTGACCTCTCGTCGATTGTTACTCGAATGCTGTGAGGGAATCGGCAGCAAAATCCATCCAAACAACCGGACAGCTGTTTCCAAGGAAACTAGAGCCAAAAATATCAAACTGTTGCACCAGAGAGAGGAAGGATCAGCCAGAAAAGTGACTGGCAAGGGTTCATGTTTGCTCTCCAGGTTTTTACACCCTTTTGTTGCCAATGTTTAACTGGGTCATGCCTGAGCAGACCTGGCTGTTTCGATACTTCCACCTCCATCAGCGTGCTCTCAGGTAGCTTTTAGAAGCGCGAAAGAGCATTTTCCACTGAGATTCCAAAATCAAAGTCTTGCCTTTAACTCCTCTCTTCTTTCACTCCTGTTTTTTTATCTCCTTCCTCCTCAGATGTAAGCAGACGTCAGTGCTCGGTCGCAGCAGGAACGAGGCTGTCGTGGCGACCCATCTCTTCCAGTACCTGGGCCAGGCGGCTGAGGTTGCCATCGGGGAAATGCTGAGCCTCCCACAAGTCCAGGATAACTCCCGTAGGGCTGGATTTGGTGGCGAAGTAGTTCAGATACCTAAACGAAAGATTATAGAGAAACAAGGAGGAGTGTGTTAGGAAACATGCCGAGAGGCGAATCTAAAGGAATATTAGCTGCTTCTTTGTTGAGGTATTCACATGTTTCCAGAAAACTTCCATGTCTACAAATGTGCTGCTTTTTGATTGGTCTGTATACATTTTAAATACACTCTTTTGAATCTCTCAAAAGAAAATATAGCTGAGGCAAAAACTCAAATGATCAAATTCTCTCTAATTAAACCCATCAAGTAATTGCGCCACACACACTTGATTTTTAAACTATTTTTTTCCCCCCAAAATATTTTTGTTATGTTTGCCAGTTTTACAACTTAGAAAACACAAGTCCGTCCAAAGAATTATTTAGATTTTTGTTTAAAAAGCTGAAGATGAAATAAGTTTTTTCTGCTTTGGAGAACATTCAAACTCTCAGAGTTTTTAATTCACCGCTTAATTTTTTAACGGTCAAATCACCAAAGGTCAATTGAAGGCTAAATTAATTGCTAGTCAGGAACTTGGCTAGCTAATCGTTCTTACTTTCTGAGATCTTCATTAATTAAAACATCAACAGCACTTTTCCTCACTGAAAGACTAAAAGTATTCAACAGCTGCTCAAGAAGAGACTGAAGCAACTTCTGCCAGAACAAAGCAGGAACAACACGAATGGTTGTGTAGATTTTAAGATTTGATACTCTCCACAAATATCAGCAGCACGCCTGGTGAAAGACATAAACAGAAACCTTAAAATGAATTGCTCTTACTCAGGCTTGATGACGTGGATGCATGAATCTCAAGCCAAGATCTTTTGAGGCTGTTTTTTTGTGACCCTCCTTAACGTCCTCCTCACTGTTTGCAGCAGAAAGATTCAAAACCAGCCTTTAACACAGCTCCGGTTTCGTTTTTCCTTTTAAAGTTGATGTGAATGTAAGGAATGGGTATGTTTAAACAAGTATCTATCTTCTTGGCGATTTACTAAATTGTAGATCGACATGAATCTGTGAACGCCATGTTCTCTGGTCTTTCCCATTTTGAGGAGCAATCAAGAAATTATTCCTTGAAAGCCGTATTTACAGTGTCTTGAATTACAACTTAAAGCTGCCACATAGCTTAAGAAACTTAGAAAAGCAGAACGTTGAATACGATTATTCCTTCGTCAGGATGCTTTCCCCATTTGATTAAAATGAGATATTATGGTGATAAGATATTTTATTTTAAAACTTTTAGACTTTTGTATTTTTTATTTTTTTGTCTGAGAAGGAAAGTTTATTTACAAATCTAAACAAAACATAAAAATCACTACTAAGACGCATCACTGGTGTGAGCTGTGAGTGAGGAGCTAGTTGAAGTCTCTCGCTAGCGTTCCTCTGCCTCCGTGCTGAACTCGGTAAGAGGTCTCGTCAATCTGCAGCTGCTGCCTGTGATAAGGCTGTCCTGCTGAGCTGGGATCTTATAAATGGATTCACACTGTATCTCCATCTCGCTCTCTCTCCCTCTCTCACACACGCGCACGCGTGCACGGGACCATCAAAGACACACGCGGGTGACGTTTTGCACTGAAGAAGCGTCTCTCTCCATCTTCGTCTCTCTCCGTCTTTGTCGGAGTTCGCTCCACGTCAATTAATCTCAATTCAGCTGATGCTTATCACAATGAGTCACATCCCAGCAGAACAATCACAATCAAATTAAAAATAGATTAGTTATCTGCAATTTGTCTCCATGCAAAGTAGGTCTCTGCTTCTTCTGAAAAGGATAATACGGCAGATAAAAGTTTAACACGAGCGGCTTTTTGAGTTTTATTGGCCGCTGGCAGCAGCCTGTCGGGGCGCAAACACAGTCCTGATGTTACGCAAGCGTCTCGCTCGTCTTCCCACCTGTCAAGATTAAGTTTGTGGGCCAACATCCTCCAGTCGTTGCCTCTGGTCTGCGGCGCGTCAAGGCTGCCGCACAGCTTCTGTCGAATGGAGAGCGGGATGCGGAAAGCGTTCGGACCGACCAGTGTGGTGATGTTGCTGGCGGGGTCGAGCAGAGACGTGTCGATGCTCTGGGAGTCCTGTACAGATAGAAGGGATGCACCGAAGGAGCTGCAGTCAGAGAAAACGTAGGCTCGCTCCTTGGACTTGTTCACATTTCGTCACTTTCTTCAAACTTCATTGTAGCTAAATAAGATGTTGTGTGACTGAACAAATCAAGCGTATAATCGGGAAGTGGAAGGGAAAATGTTAACTTTGACTGGGCCGTTATTAGAAATACATATGTTTTGATCCAAACCACAGCATTGTAATGTGTAGCATCACCCAGCAGGAAGGCGAACCTCTGTCCTGCCTTTGACTCCATCCAGAGTGGGGGAACCTTCTTTTGGCATTATGCCGCCAAGTGTTACTGCAGAAAGATTTCATCTACCACATTTCTGTTTTGAAATATCGTATATTTAACCTTTAGATATAAAGCCGCACCTCTGAGAGTGTAGTATCCAGCTGAAAAATCTGTCCTTCTCCTTCAACTTGCCGCACACATATCTTACAGCTCAGGTCCCCCGTGCTGACTGAGAAGCGCTCCAGAGTAAAGCAGCAGTGGAGGTTCCTCTGTGAACCGGTCCACACTTGCTGGAAGGACAGCTCCTGCAAGAGACACAGAGGAGTAAGCAGGACCGTTCTCAACAGCATCGGTCCCGTCATGAAAATATGTTTTTAAATAAAATAGTCAGCTTGATCTGCTGGACAGAAACGAAAGCAAAAAAAAATAAAAAATAAAAAAATAATAATAATAAAAAAAGGATCATGTATTTTTTTTTTCTCCTGATCTGCAAGCGCTACCAGTTCATGCTGAAAACAAAAAATCTTCAGTTTGACTAAACTTGTCAAACTGAAGCACTGAGAGACTAAAAGATGCTTGAAGGGAAACAATTTTCCATGAGATGTTGACACAGGTCTGCCATTCATTTAGACTGCGCAAGAGTAAGAGAGGAGACAAAGGGAAGCTTAACAGAGGACAACAAGGTTAGTCTTTTTTTTAAATTCTTTCTAACTTTCAAACTTTGTCCGTCACGGACAATGATAGATTTGGTGTTTAAGCAGACTTTTGAAAATCTCTGATTAGAAGTCAGGATCAGCATGCTTGAAGCAAACTACATGATGTCTGCAGTTTTAGAAATACCAGACATGATAACTGTGCTACTTGCTAAAGCTAAGCTTCAAAATGTAAGTAAAAGGAACTGATATCTCATGGACATGGAGGGGTGTGACTGACTGCTAGGAGGTCTTCTTAGACTGTCTTCTTAAAGAGAAATCAGACTTGGTTTATTTGACTATACAGAATTGACATTTGCAGGAGACATTTGCAGTCCTACCTGATACTTTGCTAGGAGTTTGCTCTTCCATAACGGCTGGGGAACATCATGGATGGAAAGTCTCAGGTTGTGGGTGCTGTCTTTAAAGTTTAAAGTCTTTGGTTCATCCAGCAATTTTCCACCCATTTGCTTCTCCATCTGCAGAACCTCCTGCAAATGCACACATGCACTTTATTTGCAACGAGACCATCCACAACTTGCAGTGCATCCTGTTTTGAAGGACAGCTTGTAGACGTGTCAGTCTTTAAAAAAAAAAAAAAGAGGAAAAGAAACAGCCTTGGTCTGTGTTCTTGCAGCTGGATAACTATCACCTCTCATTACCCGTCCCCAAATTTAATAACTGCGTTCAATATCCCCCTCAGCAGAGTAATTTCTCCTTATCTTTCCTCCACATAGGTGCGTCCAGGTATTAAACAGAATTGATGTGATGAGAGAGCAGCAGAGAAGGGGGGATAAATGTGGCTTATTGCATTGATGCAGAGGCTACATCTCTCAGGGAGCCGCATCGTATCTCAAGCGACGTGACAGGACCGTGCAACGCTTTCTCGTCTGCTGGCTGTTCCCTCACACAAACAGCTCAGGCAAAATGAAAACCCAAAAATGTGTCATTAATGCTCAAAAACAATCCAATTCTGCCGATACGACCTTCAGCAGACGCGAAGAGATTAAATCACCTGCGAGCGCAGCCGTGTGTGTACCTTGAGTGCATCCTGAGTGTCGTCCAGACAGTAAACTCGGATGTGGTACTCCATGGCGGGGCAGGTGACGGGGCCAAAGATGGCTAGTTTGAGGCGCTTGATGGTGGCAGCGCTCAGAGACTGGCCCACGAGGCAGTATGTTCCTAGCGTCTCCGTCAGGATGTGGCATGCCTCTTCATCCATCTGGATATAGCACGGCGTGGTGAAGTTTTCCTCTCCTACTACCACCACATCCTGCAGCACAGACAGGTAGATAAAAGCAGCAATGAATGTACATGCTGATATGCCAGCATGTCCGTGCTTTCATCAAAAACCCAAGAATAAAAGCATAAATCGACAAATGTAGCAACAGGAGAGCGACCATCTGGGATTAAAGACACGAAATCAGATCGTCAGGACGGCTGACACGTCCTCCACCAACACTGACGCTTTGTTTCGCCTTTTTGAACAAAGGCGAACACGATCTGCTCCTTAAGTCAGTTCAGACTTACACAGACTTTGTCAGCAGTAATAATGGCCTTTGATGACAGAAGTCATCTCACGATATATGAAAAAAGCCACTGTTCAAGAGCGTGCAGAGTCAGGACGTAGCGGAGAACATGAGACGCCATGAATCTGAAAATGTGTAGCAGCGCGCAAAAGAATGCAAAGACCACCAGTCGGTCAGCTGTGTCCAACATCCAAACGTACAGATTAGCTAGTAGATTGTCGTCTTGGAAATTAGTCCTAAAAAATGCATGTGGTCAAAGGAGATTTAATTATGTCATTAGTGTTATGCTGCTGTCTTACAACTCTAAGTGTAGGAACCCCGATTTTGTCTGAGGATCACAGAAAATTTAAGAAACTGTATTTGATGCAGCCAAAGTAGGAGCGTTTCCCAGAACAAATTTTGTCTTACACTCACCAAATCACTAATGATTTGATGTGTGTATGCGTCGTGTAGTTTGTTCTTTTCCTGGGTGGGAGGTGACTTAACATCTAGTTCATCTAGAGGAGACCGAGACCTGTCTTCTGAAGATACTGCCCTCCCTTTCCCAACACACCAGAAGCAAATGGCTGAATCCCCTCATCAGTAGAGCCCTGGTATATAACCAGCCGTTAACTTGATTAACAGCGTACTTAAAGAACGTTAAACTATGGCACTAGTTACATATTTAACATACCCGCCGGTCGGCAGGAAGCAACAATCTAACTTTGCAGCGTTTTGGATTTATTTTTGTTTACCGCCACGTTTTGTAGCTGCTCGGTAAATTTAGATGAATTTCAATGCAAAAGGCACAATTGAGGCTCTGACCTTTAAAAAAACAAGCTCCGTCCTTTTGCAATATTAATGTGTGTTTTCGCGTGTGACTCCCTCCGACACTCACTCATTATGTACGCCGGATAATGGAACATGTAGTATTCAGGCCATCTGAACCTGACCCCCTTTAATGGCGCCATCGCCTGGACATATTTCTCTTTCATTAGGACCGTCCTGTCTGAGGCGACTCATGCCTCCCTCCGTCTTCCCATCCTGTCTTCTCTCTCTCTCTCTCTCTCTCTCTCCGCCGGCTCTCCCGATCTTGATCTTTGAGTCACTCGCTCTCTTTCTCAGTGTAACAAACACTCCTGCCAGCAGCACACTGGTATTAATTCAACCCATTATGGGAGACAGAAGAGGAATTACAGCATTTTATTGTGAGCTGTGCCATTTAACAGCAGCATTATGGCTGATCATTAGACTCTTTAACTGGCCCTATGGGATGGCACTGGGGGCTTTCCTATTGGGGGATAATGAGAACACGCAGTAGACGAAGTGAGCTTGTACTTTGTTTATACAGTATGTGCACAAACAAACGCAATCGAGTGAGCGAGCGCAGCTTTAATTTATTCACACCACACATCTTTTGGCTAGGATTTGTTTTTTTTTCCCAGGATTTTTTTTTTTTTTTTTTAAAGAAATTTATGAAGCAGAAAGTCACAAAATATTCCTCACTATACGTTCTGTGATCATCAACATGCCTCTGGAGGGACGCCGTGTGTATTTGTGAGTTCCAGATAGATTTGGTAATTACCCATTCAGCGATGCTCATCTCCTGTGTTCCTAAAGACGGATCCAAAAGTGTGTTTTCACAGTCGCCCACGTAGCACAAACTTCTGGGAGGAAGTGAGCTGAGATTTATGAGCTGGTCAAACTGTTCAAACACTTAATCATTGGTTGTTGTTGTTTTGTTTTTTTTGTTTTTTTTTTTTTATTTAAAAATGATTAGAGTTGTGCTGTTTTCTTTTGGCCACAAAAATCCTCACTGCACATGAAGAGGTTTAAAAAAAAAAAGTAAGGATGCTGAAGTCATTATTTAGTAACCTGCTGAAAGAGCATCGTATTGGATACCGAAGATGAATTTGAAACTGCCGCTTTGCCCATTTTGACTCTTATATCAATTTAGACAAACAGCTGAAATCTGCATGATTTCAGAATGATTATTCATGTTTGCAGTTTGCTGGCTCCACAGGATTTTTTTTTTTGTCCAAAAATTTTCTCTCGACTAGAAAACAAGTAAATGAATAAAATATTGTAATGTTGTCTAAATGATGAGTTTACAGTTTAAACTACTAAACTATTTTGAATTTGTCAAGACCTTTCAGTGATAAGGATGGAAGTACAGTTTATACTAATGACCTTTTATGAGTGATTAAATGATTTTAATGCAGGCATAAGAAAAATGAGTGCATAGTAATTTCAAGGACTGTATTACGCTTATAAAGTCATATTCAGAAAATTAGAATATGTGTCCTGATGATGCTCATTTGTCAGATTAAAATAAAGTGGATCCCTGGTATTCACAGGGGATAGGAACTTGGGGGTTACCAAGCTCACATTTCTATATGACAAACGTTTTTTTCATTGGAATGATTTATTATTCCAATCTTAAATTTCATGTTTTTATTAGCTGTAAGCAAAAAAAAAAAAAAAAAAAAAAAAATCATCATAATTAACCGAAACACTTACAACGAAAAACTGTATGCAATTAATAAATATGCGTTTCACTTAGTGATTTGGGTTTAAATCAAATGAAATTAACTTTTCAGGAATATTCTAACACAAAATGGGAATCAAGCTGTGTTGGAAGATTGCACTACAAGATCTTATTTAGATGCTGCTGCAGGTTGCATGTGAAGAACTACAAATGTTTAACTTTGGAAATAGGAATACTATTTTAAATAGTGGCGATGGTTCAGTCAGATCAGCACAAGCATGAGGAGTTTTAAACAATCAGCGCGATTGATGTCATGACCTGAGCGTAGGAGCGGGGGTTTTGTAGTTCAAACTGATTTATTTATGCAGAATGATGAGAGGCTTGTGTCTTCTGAAGCATGCCATGGTGGACTAATGCCAGACCCTGGAACCCTATTTCATGGCACTCCAATGCTATAACATCGTGGCTCTTGGAGTACAGGGTGTTTCACATTCGTTCAGCTTGAAGAACTCCCTAATACGCCTGAGAAAAGTGTGCAAGCATTTGGCGTTCTGCAGCCAGAGGAACTGACTCGAGTCTGAGGGCTGCAAGACGAAGCAGAACTACTTAAATGCGACGGGTAAATATTTATAATTGGGAAGAGGAATGATGAGACCAAGCACAGTGTTTTCAATTTCTTACTGTCCTCTTTTTTTTTGTAAAACTGTAACTTCACAGCTTCACAAAAGCTGTGAATTTAGATGTGGTTTTTTATTTTATTTTATTGTTTTATTGTCCATAAACAAAGTGGTAATATGTAAATGAAAACTGTTTTCAGGCAACATATTTTGAATTTCAAAAGCCAGCTATGGAGTATTTCATTAATCCCATGTAAAATGTTGCCAATAAGGATTTCTGCACGTTAATCTAGCCCACACTTTTGATTAAAAAATCACAATAAAGAGGGAAACAAGACCCAGATGCATAGAAGGGACAAAATATCTATCCTTAAGCATCTACTGTGATCTGACTTGATAATTTGGGCTCTGAGGAAAAGGGTTCGAATAAGTCAGTACACAAAAACACATGTATCGAAGAAAGCCATAATAAAGGAACGGGTAAAGACCAGTTTTACTCTCAGAGATCAGAGGTTTACTCTTTCAGCACTTGATTAGAACCGAGCTTGAAACTAAACTTTTATCTGCTGTTCAAAGGAATATCATCTTTCTCGTTTGTTCTTTACTCAACGCGCAGCTAAACTTTCAGCAAACCACATACATCTTGGAAAAAAGAAAATGCCCTGAGTAAATTAAACTTTAAATCCGATGTTTAACTTGAAAGGAAGCCATCCTGATGTCTTACAGGAATGTACATTTTCAGAACCGTCTGAGGCGGTCTGAAATCTCACTTCCCACTGGTTCTGCGGGGACTGGCTCTTGAGCTGGATCAGCCAGTCCTGCTGGCCGTCACACACGGCACAGTGGTGCATGGTGATGATGACGGGACGTGTCAGCAGGGCCCCAGGAGGCCCACAGCTCACTATGGGGCTCAGCACTGTTTGACCATCTTCCACAGAAGGCCTGAAGGTTTTATTTAGAGAGAGAAGGAAAAAAAAAATGAAAAAAGGAACATACACATGCTGTTCAGTGACAGTGTTGACAGCAGTCTGTGTGAGAGTGCGACAGGGCACAGTGGACGGGGGTAAACACAGCTCTCGGGTGTTGAGCAGAGATCCGTACCTCAGGTTGTCCTTCCTCTGAACGGTCACGTACATCTCGTAGACTCTGCCTTGAGGAATGGCCCCCGCTGGTATGAGCAGACTCACGCCTGACGAACAAATAAGAGAGGAAACAAACGTGCAACCAAAACTTTGACTTGTGTGGCCCACCAGTGTAGCATGCACGTTACATTTGTGGTGCTTTTTATGTCTGTAGTGCTTAATTTGAACGGTAAATCTCACATGTGCATGCATCAAAAGGGTTCAAGATAAAAAAAAATAAAATAAATAAATAAAAAGTATTGGTTTTTGGAAAATTGTTTTGGAAACTATTACATCTTTCTTCTGGATTCTGTGCCATGGTGATAATATGTATTCTCACATAAAACTCACATTTTATTGCCTTTTCCATGATATCGTAAATGATGCCGGATTTCATTTCTACAATCAATGATCTCCCTTCTCCTTATAGCGTTCCTATATAGCTACAGCTTTTGCATTTTTCCATCTGAGATTGATTTGAAATGATGTCTTGTCTCATGTGTTTTTTTTTCTTTCTTTTTTTTTTTTAGGAACAAATCCATCAAATTTCCTCATGCATACACACAATCTAGGCTTTTCTCTCTCAGGAGGGGGAGGTATTAAGTTTGAACACTGATTTCCATTGTAATTGAAGTAAACTTCTCAAAAAGGTGACAGACAGGTTTCCCCTTCGATCATGGATCTGCCTCACAGGAAAGCCGCGGCACATTTTAAAAATGCAGGAACAGCCACACAGGAAGTGTCACCAAATATTTCATTACTCTGACACACAAACATATCGAATATCAAATGCCCTTTCTGCTCCATATCGCCCGTGTAACATAATAAGGTGAAAATATTTTTCAGGTATCATAAAAAAAACGGGAAAAAAAAAAAAAAAAAACTTGAGAAATGTGAGAAGTCTGTTGCATCCTTTAAAGTCAGAGCTAGTTTGTCTATGCTTGTCAACACGCATCTGTGGTGTGATCCGTACAGCCTGCACGTGTTTGAAGTGAAGACAGCATGGCTAATGTAAGCTGCCTCAAACTAGAACACCTCGACTTTGGCGCTTGTGGTGGAGGCACCTCAGGTATCCATCAACTCCTGTCATACTGCGCGCAGTCAGCTGCCTGATAAGTTGCATATGGCTAAGCGTATCACTTCAAAGTCACATCTGTTTGTATGTTTTATGTAGCGGTGGTAAAGTATAACAGGCAGCCAAGGTCTGCAAGTGGAACAACACGCCTACTGTACCCAGAGTTTGCTTTGCAAGGAAAACTGATAGTGTGTGTTTGTGTTGAAAACTGCACGAAGATCATGGATGATTTGGTTTTAGCAGTCGGAAAAAAAAGGTTTGTATTTGATTAGATCATTATATCAGTAAAAATCTTATGGAGAACATAATAATATGTACATTTCTAGGTCTTCACAAAAACTAATTTTTGTGGAGACATTTTTACATCTCCCTAAACCGGTGAACATTTCTACTGGATATCAAATCAACACACAGATACGGAGGCATCTTGCTGTTCTACCTGAGTTGGGCACAATCAGCTGCCCCCCCTGCGAGCTGAAGGAGCCCAGAGCGGTGCAGGAGGGATCCCTGGTGCGCAGCAGCGTCTGCGTCTGCATGCGCCGGCCCATCGTGCTGTCGCTGTTGTCCAGCAGGCAGTGGGGAAGCTTTGGGGACAGCTTGGAGGACAGCTCCCCTCCCAGGTCGTCCTGAGGCGTCACCAGACCCGAGGAGTTGTACACCTTGATCTTCAGGTTGGGCAGTGGATCCAGCAGCGGGGAGTTGGTCATGGGGATTTTGTCGGCCACGTCATGGAGGGCGTAAACCGGGCCGCGGTACATGGCGGCCGCCGAGGTCAAGTCAGGAGGGGCTGTTAAGAGATCAGCTGTGGGGAAAAACAAAAAAAAAAAAAACAAAAGGCAAAGTAAATCCAGTTTTTGTAATTTTGGGGGAAAAACACACAAAACTGAACTCAGAACAGCTGCTTTGCTTTACTCTGCTGCTTTTTCACTCATTAAGGAAGTCTGCTTCAGTGGCAACAAACATTACTCAGTCTGAGAAGTTCGTGGCGCAGCTGTGATTCATGAAGAACAGATGGCATCACAAGAACTGAGTTTACCCTGTAGGAAGCCTGCAAACTTAAGCTCCTTTACTGCCTCCACACCCACTCCGCTTTCCTGCCACGGGATACTTTATACCACACATATGCCACGGAAGGTAATAAAATTAGGGGTGATTATTTGTTGTTTATGAAACGTCAGCGGCTGTGGTGATTACACTTTGAATTAAGGGGATCACTGCAGAGAGAGAGGAGACTGCAGGTACAGGTAGAGGAAAAAACAGACAAACAGATACAAGAAAAACAAAATCTTGGTTTTCCACATTTAAAAATCTGGTGTTAAGTGCTACAAATTAAAGCAGAATGATGAAAAACCAACAACTATCACATTAGGATTTCCACAAATCCTTTGAAATGAAACATTTGACGCCTAAGTTAACATCTATTTCCCAGGAAATGAAAATAAAAAGTGATAATGTGATGAGACACTAAGCAGAAATGTTGATCAGCGGAACTGAAAATCCTTTAGCCAACTTGCCTTAATATGTTTCTTTATCATTATTCAATCTCGTTAATGCTGCTTGTATATCACGTGACAATTGATTACATAGTGAAGCACATAGTAGTAAAAACCTACTATATGATACAGATTTTACTACTAATTGGAGCTTACACATTTTTCTTTCTGTTTATACTCATATTAACTGATAATTGCACACTTAAAATAATACTTTCTCAAAACATTGTTTTTATATGTCCACATCGTATGTTTCTCCCCAACAGAAACAGTAGTAGGCCTGAGTCTGGCATGAAGTCTTTCATTTTTCACCTTAAAATGAAAGTTACTTTTTAAAATTAACTTAAGCAGTAGTGAGAAATCCTTTAGCACGATTTCATTATGGAAGAGAAAACTTGAAAGCCTCATAATGCTTTTTAAAACCTGTTTTTTTTTTTTTCACTGCCTCCAGTCATTGTTGTCACGCTTTACCTTTAAGTCCAGTTTAAGTGCTGATGACTCACTTCAGATCAACACTGTGGCACAGAGGCGACTCCAATTATGCTTTAATGACAAGTCCTGGTTTAACCTTCTGTCATATATTTACATCATCATAGCATGTCATTCACATCACAGAAACATTTGATACTTTAGAGCGTCCAGGTCAAACAAACCTCTAAAGGCGGACGTTATGGGCTGTTAATGTAAGCCACTCCAGATGTCTCTCAAAGCATTTAGGCTAACACAACGTGATCTAATGTGCTGTGATGTTGACTTGTCCTTCAGCTAAATCTTGTTTGCCAAGTTTGTTTAAAAGCCTAAATATTTAAAACACAGACAGTTACAAAAACAAAAACGTGCTTGAGGTAAAGCTGACATAATTCTAAGTAAATTGAAGACTATGTAAAAAAAGGTTTCTGTGTTATTTTTGACTATTTTTTTATATATATATATATATATATTTTTTTTTTTTTTTTGCTAATGCAAAACAAGGCATTCGTAATGATAGAGATGTTTGGTAAGAAACCAAAACTATTTTGGAATCAAATCCTTTATCAACTCTAAAGTAGCAGGATATATTATGGCCTGTGGCTATTTTATTGAATTTATAATTTTTTTTTTTTTTTTTTGTCAAAAACATAACTAAAATCTTAAATAATATTATTTCAGGTGGTGCCTTAAGGTAAAGTGACATAATGTACTTTTTTTTATTGGGAGCTCTTTTAAATGACATTTGGACCTCGTTCATTTCATTTTAGTATTTTTGAACTTTGACTAATCTACCCTTTTCTGCTCTGGTTGTCATGCTAAGGTACTAAACTAATTATTTAATTTATAACAAAAAAATAAAAAATAAAAACAATAAAATACAAGAACATCTAAATGAAAAATGCTAATTTTACATGAGATAATGGAGTAATTACTTATGCATGTAAATTATCAAAAAGGAAATCTCCAATAATTTGCACACGTTGTACCTATTTTGTCACACATGCCCACAGATTAAAACCCTTAACATCCCCGCTGACCCACCTTTGCGTGCGGTCTTGATGCTGACCGGTTGGAAGCCTCCGTTCAGGGCAGACGAATCGATGATGTCGGAGCTGAACTCCCGATGGTTCTTCCTGTAGATGAAGAGCGCCACGACGACGGAGATAACCACGCACAGGATCACGGCGATGACAATGCCCACATAGAGGGCTACGTCATCTGTACTGGGAGCCACTGGGGGGCAGGGGGGGGGGGACAAGCAGAGATAGGATACAGATATAGGAGAAGAGTCTTTTAAGAGCTCATAACTTTGCATCAATAAGATTAAGGCTTTCTCGTTCAACATGCAGGAGTTGCGAAGAAAACGTTATCAGTGGACTAATATCCTGGCTTGGGATTGAGCCGGATATTAACAGCCATAATACAGGGAAATAAATGCGGAAAGCTAATTTGTTTTTTTTTTTGTTTTTTACCCCCCCCAATCTGGTCTTTTTTTCATATATTGGCAAAAATAATTTCCCAATCCGAAACACGTTACACAGGAACAAACACAAACATAGCTCTTACAGCAAACAAATTAAAGTCTTTACTCCAGCGCTAAAGGGCAGAGATTTCACAAAGTCAAACCTGGATATTTCTTAAAAGGAACAGAACTGTTCTGTATTTGAGAGGATGTTGTTCACAAGGCCTCATACATATGATAATTAACGATGATTATCAGATAATGATGATAAGAGTCTGGAGAAACAACACAATTAAGATACATGGCCACCCCGGCGTAACGCAGCGGCAGGCTGAATCACGCTCAGACGCGAGATCAAAAGTCCTTGGACACATAGTTGCGCAGGGATTTCATCTTCAAATCGCAGCGCTCCGTGCTGAAGTTCAGAGCCCGTTTGCGTCTTTGTTCTTACGCACTGCAGATAAGATCTAGACATAGCTTGGATTTCTCAAATTGTCTTTCATCTCTGCCCGCCTCCCAGAGTTTTTCTGTCCATTTTCCAGCTGGAGAAACCCCTGTCATTAGTTGGCCAGGCATCGAAGAATATATATATATATATGCAGCTGCTAGAGCCAGACAGTGAGTACAGATCAGGCCTTTTATTAGATGCTGACTGACAGTCTGAACTCTGTGGTGCTCTATGAAGAATGTCCTTCAGTGTCACAAGTTGACAAATGAGGAGAGGGAAACACTTCTTTCGAGGTAATGAAATACCCGGGGGGGCTTGTGGGAGCATGTGTCCGCGCATTGTTTGACGTGTCAGCGCAGGGCCTACATGCTGTAGGATTGTTGGAAAAAGTCAAACAAAAAGAATGCAAATGCATACTTATTTATAAAGAGAACAAAAGGCATTTTGATAAGGGAGAGAATCCCATTTTTAGGATGAGCACTTATGCAAATTGCGCTGAATATGCAGCAGATGGCAGTGTCACCCATAAATCCAAAGACAAGGCTTTGAAGACATGCATGATGGTGGAGCAAGTGTGCAGATGGCACTCATGTGTCTCTTGTGCTCAGTTTCACAAAGAAGCATGGAGCAGCAGAGCGAAGAGGCTGTGAGGGAAGAGCGTTTGTGCAAAAAAGGGAAAGCCATAAGTTTACTAATTACATGCTCTAAAGAACCATGTTTATATCGATTATCAAGTTGAAATTTTAAACTTCATTAGACTTAATTTAGTGTTTTATGTGAAAGAGCGACACAAACTGGTAAACAATTGTAAACTATAAGGAAAATAGTACGTACTTTTGAAATATTTTTTTTTACAATCAAAAATCTGAAAAGTGTGGCATGCATTTGTATTCAGAACTATTTTGCTCTAATACCCCTAAATAACATCCTCACTGTAAGCCATGGCGGTGGCAGCATCATGCTGTATGGGTACTTTTCTTTAGCAGGGACAGGGAAGCTGGTTAGAGTTGATGTGCAGATGGATGACACTAAAATACAAGACAATATGATAATAAAATCTCTTAGAGGCTGACATAGACATCATCCAGCCTCTAGACGCGTTAAATAGTCCAGTTAAAGACGAGACCTACATTCCACTGAGAAGATAAAATGTTTGTGACTGCAAGATGATAAATTGAGAAACGGTTTTAGCTTTACACATAACTATCCTGAGGCTAAAAGGAAGATAATGTGGTGCATAGTTTGTTGCTATAAACTTAAAATGCATTTAATGCACAGTCTGAGCAGTGAGGATGAGGAAGACGACTGAGTTACAGCAGAGGTTTAAGTTTCCTGAATGACTATAATTAGACACACTTTATGTACTGCAAAAAGGACATCAGTCTATGTTATATTAATGTATCTTCCTTAGAATGCATATTTGTAACATAGGCATCTCCGCTCAGCCTTGCCTTAAACATCCTCTTCCAGATGCATCCTAATGTATGTCAGCGCTCTAATCTTTCCTCTCGCAGAGTCGCAAACACAAAACGGAGCAGGGCGCCAGTGATGAAGGTCTAAAAAATGTAATTTCACTCCATTCCCTCTGCAGAGCTTCCCAGCAGTTGCTTAACATATATCCCCTCAGTCGAACAATCTTCCATCCTCGCTTTGATGATAAATGCAGCAACCTGCTAAGTGTACGCATTAAAATGTATCACTCAGATTAATATGTCCCTTTGAACATGAGCTATTGTCAGAAGTGGAAAAATACAAGGAGCGAAAATGAAACAGATTATTAAACACTCTATTTTCTGTGAAGAGCAGAAGATTTAAAGACGGAGGGAGAGAGAGATTTACAGAAAGACTTAAAAGCATAAAACACTGCAACAAAAAAAAGTGTGATGGGAGATGTGTAGAAGTGGTCCTATTGCACGTTGCTGTCAGAGTGGAGTTAGGCTTACTTTAAATACGATCTTAATTACTTAAATAACTTACATTATTAAGACTGAAGTGAATTTTATTAACATTTTAATCTTTATTTTTTGTAGAGCTAAATGTTAAAAGACAGGACGGAAGATTGATCCGTACTCTAACAAGGTCAAAAAGCCCTTGATCATCTGCAATTATTTTCTTCATGCTTTTGTTTGGTCCAGAAATGAATGTGCTAACATCTAATGATAAAACGTTACATAAGATTTCTTCTAATGACCGTTTTAATTATTTCTGCAGTAGCTGCAGCACAGTGAGATGCCGCCGACTTTGAACTAAGAAAGCAGATACCTAAAAAAAAAACACTTAGCTCCTTTCTTAAAGATATCTCCGGCTTTCAGAGTCTTCATTATTTCACACTTAGAGTAGTCCCACAATTAAGTGTTACAGTTTTTAAAGCTTGAATCAAGTCGTGCTCTTTCCTTCACGACTGGGAAGACCCTTAGCCTTGAGAACCTAATTAAGGTCTAAGATTCTGGTAAGACATCTGACAACTCAAATGATTAAAAATGTTCCAAATTTCTCTTTAAGCCCTCTGTGTAAAGGTTCATCTTATATTATGCAAGAAAAAAGAAGTCGTCTGCAGAGGTTTCTAACCCAATCAGCGCAGCCCTGAACATATTATCCATGTTTGAATTCAATTCAGTTTATTTATATAGCGCCAATTGACAGCATGCTGTCTCAAGACAAATGAAAAAAAAGTCAAACAATGCTGTCAAGTTCAGTTTATTCTTTAAATTGTTTAAAAAGTGTTTTTTCTTTCTAAGGAAACCCAGCAGATTGCATCAAGTCGCTGATAGTGGAAAGTTGCCTGCATTGTGTCGCTAACTTTGCAGCAATCCATCATACTGAGCATGCATGTGGAAACCTCAGAAAGGAAAATTCATCTGCGTGAACGGCCTTCTGCCACAACTGACTGGGGGGATTTGAGAAAACATACAAAAAAAAAACGGGAAAAATTAAACACTGAAGCACTGATCCAGAAGAATTTTCTATGTTAAAGAAAAGTAAAAAAAAGAAATAATGACAGCATTAGTTCCTCTAGTGGCTTCATCTAGGAGAGGAATAGAGCAAAACAATGAAGTTCTTAGTCCGATTTGAAGCTTATCCGACGAGCGAAAGCTGCGACTACAGTTGGTCGCAGGAAGATTTATTCAGGAGAGAGGTCCCCTTCAGGAAGATGTCAGCTAATCAGAACGCCAGACAGGATGTAACTTCTATGTAGAAAAAAAAAAAAAAACACAGAGCGAACCTAAAGCTACAAGTAGAAAAAATGCAAAATTAAGAGAGTAATAAGAGCATATTGCAAAGTGAAAAAGTGCCCATTATGTTCCCCAGCAGCATAAATCTATAGTATCATAATAGCAGAGAGAGCAAAGGAGAGTCAAAGCCTGTCTCTAGTCATGTTTATACAAAAGAAAAGTTTTAAGCCCAGTCATAAACTAGACCTGCATCACAGACTAAAACTGGGAGCTGGTTCCACAGGAGAGCCGTATGGAAACTAAAATACTTACCTCCTATTCTACTTTTAGAACCTGTGGAAACCGAGAGTAGTGCTCCGTTTTCTGACGTGTCGCTACTCTACCCACAAGTACAACGTAAATACACAACCAGGACTGCTTTGATGATATTCTGGCACTTTTAAGACATCGATCAAATACATACAGAGTGCTTTGACATAACTTTGATATAAAAGATAAATAAGGGTGAAAACAGTTTATTCATTCAGAGAACTGACTGGATTCTAATTGTGGATTGAGCTTTCTGGCAATTTGCATAACATGCAGACTGTGATAGTGACATTTATTAGTTTTATTCGTTTTTATGTGATTTTGTTACGTCACAAATACGAAAACGGCATTTTCTAAAAGTGGTATAATCTTAGAAGCACATATGAGTCAAAATAAGGGATAAACATGCCTAAATAAGATGCACACATTTGCCTGATGTGCGCATACACATATTTTATTGGTCGGAGTATTTCAGAATATACGCTGATCTACTGAGATTTTTGTGCACAAACCCCTAAAAATATTATTCAGCAAATGGCAGCTATGTGGCAGAAAACTCCGTTTGGATGTCAAGTGAGAATTACTGTAGCTCAAACGACCATTTGTAATGTAATGTGAGGGATTCTTCTCAGCACTGTTTGAGTCCTTTTAGTACCAAATGAGTGTTGTTGCTGACTATGTAATAGTGTATCAATCCCATATTGCAAACCTCAAATTAACTTTGAAATGGTTTATTGAATAATGACATGAGAGCAAGTTCACTGCACTGTGGCATCATGGGTATGGAGGCAATAAATTTACATCAACTGGGTGATGTGATTATATCAATGTGGACCGAAATCTCTAAGAAATTATCGCCCGATTTGACAGAGTTTTTCATAAAATTAAAGCACTTCTAAAGGGAAAATCAGTTTCTATCCACCACTAGTGAAGTGCACCTCAAACTGTCTAGTAGGTGTACATGCAGCCTCAAAGTTGAAATCCGATCTACTGCTCAGTACAGACAGTGAGAAACCAAAACCCTACAGTTCGTAGCGTTTCAAAAAAGCATCGTTTTACTAAATCTAGAAAAGCAGGTTTCAGTATCTGGGAGAGTTTCTGCTTTGGAAAGGCAAAGGGAGACCTGACTATTTTTCCCCCAGTCTGGTCCTCGTTTATCAAAAAATAATATAGGTGAATGGACTGCATGCATTTCGATGCAAAGGTCGCTATTCATCAATTTGGATGTGCCAAATATATGCCATCTTTGAGATCACCCACAGCAGTTTAGGCCGATGTGAAGCAGGCCAGTGTGATCTGCACATTATCAGTAAAACATGTCATTATAATATTATTGCCAAATAGTTCATTAAAGACAAATCCTGACTGAACAAGATTTTTATATCTATTCTCTCTTTAGAAAGTCTGATACCCAAACTGATGTCTCAGTGGCAACTGATTGGATGAATATTGTTGATAAATATCAATATTTATTGAATTACTACTAGTAGTGGACTACTAGTTCTTAGTGCAAAGGAGTTTAAGTGATGCTCTTGAATAATTACATTTTTACTCACCAATTTCCTTTAAATATTTGAAAAAAACAACACAGAGCTTGTTTGTTGGTATATTATGATGATATTGTAGAAATTAAGTAGTGATGATAAAATTAAAGCACAAATATAAGTTGGAAAGCAGTATTTTTAATGATTTTACAGCAACTTTGCAGACATATTTTTTGTTGTTTTGTTTTATTTTAGTGTTTCTTCTTCCTGTTCGGTGATCTTGAGTGCTTTGAAAGGCGCCTTTGAATAAAAAGCATTATTATTTATTATTATATTTTCAATGTCAAATCCGTTTGACTGTAGTGACAAATACAGTTTATTCATAAGCTGCTTATAAAAAAAACCCCACCAACAAACACAAAACAAAAGGTGGAGACATAGACATATACATGCATGGGAATAACAGCAAACAACAAGAAAAAAAAAAGAAATTAAATGATGAAAATAAACAACTCACATGAATTTCCAAAATCACCCTCGTCATTAGCCTCAGTAGACTTCTGATATAAGGAACCTTTAAAAAAAAAGAAAGAAAGAAAAGGTTGTGGATGGGGAGGAGGGCGTGAGAGGTAAGGTGGGAGGGCAAAGAAAGAGGGATGATGAAAATCAAATTTCAAACAGAAAAACTAACTCAACAAATGAGACAGCGACAAACCCATGAGCAAGAGCGATGACACGGGGATGTGATCGCTCTTGATTTAGCCCCCCCCCTCTCCTTGCCCTATCTGTGCATGCTGTATAGAGATGAATGAAGGGAAAACAGGGGAGAACATGGAGGCTCTCTGAGGAAGCGGCACGATCCATCAAGAGGGCTTAGTGCTTCGGCAGCAGCAGGACAGATGCTGGCAGGTGAGGGGAATGGAGGGGCTGATAAAGTACGAGCTCCAACAGAGTCAATAGAACCTACAGCCTTGCATCTGTCACCGGAAGGTGGATGGAGACGTTAGTCCACGAGATAAAAGGAATGATTATGTTAGGAAAGCCGAAAGAGGAGAAAGCTGAAGGACAGCGATTAGAAATATTGGACACGTGCGATTGCGAGATTTAGGAAATCTTCGGCATAGAAGGTTTTCTGGCTCCTGCTGGTATTTTAGGAGCTTTAGCCGGAGTCGGGCTGAAAGGCAGAGCCAGCGCACAAGCACACATAATATTCAGTCTCCCCGAGACATCCATAAACAACTATACAAACAATGAAATCCTTATTGGAAAGGGAGAGTGCCACAGGAAGACAAGTGGACTGACAGGAAAATCAATGATGTAATAGATGAGGTCGGTGCATGCAATCAGGCGTTGGGGATGCAGGCGACAGTAAGCGGATGCCCCTTCTGAACCCATCCTGTGGAGTTTCCATACATCCAGACTGAGAGGACTGGAAAACCAGCATAATGGCTTCTTTAGTGGATGGGCTCCAGAGGAAAACAAGCAGCTCCAGACAGAAAAAAAAAAATCCTTTTTTCTTTTTTTACTCTACTTGTAGATCCAGGAAGGAAGTTGGGATCATAGCACAGGTAATCAATGTGAGTGTTGAACATTACTCCTTAAGCTTGACAATTTTCCAATCTTGGAGGCCTACTTTGTTCTTTTGTCTGCGAAAAGAGCCCTTATTGAAAAATTTAAAAGGTTAATTTCAGTCTCTGCTACTTATTAATCTATGTGAAACCAACAATCCGGAGACAATTTGATCAAGACCTTTAAGACAAAGTGTAAATAGCAGAAATCAAGCCTGGCATCGCGATTGTGCCGTCTCGTCTCACAGCAATAAAGCATGCGCCCTTGTTGGTGTCTGGATTTCCCTGTTCTGCGGATCGATATGTCAAGAAAATGTCATGTCTGCGAGCGGGGTTACCGGATGCTCGGCAAACAACATATGAATTCAGACCACAGGGGAAGTGCCAAACACAGACGGGTCACCCATGGCGAACTGTGGTAGCAGAAAAACAAGTTAGAAATCCAAAGGTTTTCTCTGAATGTGCAGAATGCAACCCTTTCTGGATCAATTTTACGATATTTAACTTTAGTAAATGTAACACCCCAAAACTCCCTGACTGTTAAAACGCAATAAACAAGCCGCAAAGTAAATTATTACACAACTCTTTCCTTCTTTACTGGGGTCAGTTGTGCTTCTACAGTGAGGAGTTATGGATGCCCGAAGCATCAGGCTCTGTTTCAAGCTCCGGCCGGATCGGATTCCTTCAGGCAGAGCTCTGTGATGGACTGCAATTGAAGTGATTTAAATAAATTCAAACATCAGAAAATAAGATCAAACTGCAACGAAATCCACAGACACGTGTTTGCTCAGATTCCAGCTCAGCACTGCAGGGAGCGAATCAACCGTCCGAGGTGAGTTCGGATTGCACACAACTTCCATTCCCAATCATATTTGCCATAACATGAGCTTTCAGATAATGGGCCGTTCTCCTAAATGCTTGTGGAAATGGTCGTTAGCATTGGCGTAAGTGGCTCTGGCCTCTTAGCTTCCCCAAAAAAATCAATCTCTGAAATGATCCTGAATCTATATCATTATGGCTTTATATTCTCGGCAAACTGGCCATCAATCCTCCAAGAACTAATGCTTTTGGGACATGTGGAGCTGAGCCGGGCGAGAACAGAGGCAGGTGAGAGTTGGGTTAAATATGTTGTTATGCTGAAGCAAAAAAAAACAAAAAACAACGCATTCACAGTCTTGCACTTTCTTTCACAGCCTTCTCCGCACACTTTTTTTAAATAGTTTTTCTGTTCTTGTCTTAAACTTTATAAATTAGAATCACAAACCAGAACATTTTGTTGGGATTTCATGTAACAGATCAACATTAAATTTTATGAAGTAAATTCAACTTTTTTTTTTTTTTGTATAAACATAAATCTTTGTGGTGTGTATTTGTATTCAAACCTCAGACTCAGAGCCGGTTTTTTCTGTAATTACAACTGAAAATCTTTCAGGGTGTCTCTATCAGCTTTGCAGCACTACTGATCCACAGCTCCTTGTTCTTCTTAACAAAGTAGCTTACTGAGATTAGAGGAAGAATGTCTGCGAATATGCTTTTTCGAGTCTTGTTACAGATGCCAAATTATTTTTATATATAGACTTTGTATATATAGAATATGTTTTTTTTTAATCAAAACTGTCTGACGGCAGGTCTGGTTGTACGATCCGAGGTGTTGTCCCATTGGAAGGTGAACCTTGGATGGATGGGGCTCCATATTTAGCTCCATCCATCTTCCCATCACATCTAATTGCAGCTTTTGCTGAAGAAAAGCATTGTTGCAGCATTATGCTGCCATTACCATGTCTCATATCTAGGATAGTATAATCAAGATTGTCTCTTTTGGGCAGCACATCTTCTCCCATATCGGCTGTTCCCTAACTGGCTTCTGCCAGACTTTAATATGTCTTCTTTTTGTCAACATTAGGTTTCTTTTGGCTACTCAATAGATCCCAGATATGTGACTGAGAGGAGTCCTGCTGTCTGATTATCCCACCTGAGCTATGGATCTCTGCAGCTCCTCCAGAAAACTTCCCCACAATTTCACCCCTGAAATGTCCAATGTACATTTTGGCCTTTATATCCAAATAAAAGCAATATAAAGTTTGTAGTTTTAATGTGACAAAATGCTTATTAAAAGTCCCGAGGGCTGGAGTGCTTCTTCTGCAAAGCTACGCATAACGCTCAACAAAATCAGCTAATGCAATCCACTCTCTGGATGCCGACACTTCCTGGCCTCATATTCGGCAGACACGTTTATTTACTTAATAAATATGGACTTTGATTAGTAATATAATGTTGACTCTAACTTGTGATGCATTGCAACTAGTAGCCATTTACAATGTGGTGCAACAGAAGCTGCACAAAGTGTTTGCCAGCTCTATTAAATTTAAGACACCTAGCAGCTGAGCCTGTGTTATATAATTAGTGTCACAATCACCATCTGTAATAGGTTTACACATGATGAAGGCGCAAGTGACAGTGATTGGATCTAACACCTCCAAAGATGTTTATTGCAAGAGAGTTTTATAAAACTAGACAGGGTCTAACTCAGTTTCTGTGCAGCATTTGCCTCTCTCCACAGCTCATCCCCTTCCTCTTGTTGTTGAAGAAAAGATGGCAAAGATCATTTACTCAGACGAAGCCGAAGGGCCCAAATACTTCACCCTGCGACGGCCCAGCCATGTCGTAAACACACACACATCAAAGCTATAAATTCATGATTTCAATCTGCGAATGTGTTATAAATAAGTGGGAGCAGGATTGTTGGATTAGGCAAACCGTGCAGCTGTTTTTAACTTCCTGGCAGAAACGGCATAAGTAAACAATTCTCTGCTTGCGAGGGGAAAAAAAAAAAAAAAAAGGTCTGGCTTCACCACAAACTGACTTTTATCTGTTGTTTTGTCAACATCAACACAGTAAGACCAGTAAATGAATATTTCAGAGCAAGCCTAAATACAGCGTGTGCCAGAACTTCCCAGAGCACAGCTCAAAATTACATATACAGTTCTGGTCAGAGATATACGTGTATTATCAGGGGTATCAATGTAGTTCATTTTGGGCTTTTCAAGATTTATCGAAGCCACTCTTTTCCCACGGTGGAATGATGATAAAACCTCCAAGATCAACGATTGTTAAAAATAAGAATTAGATGATGCACAAGTTTGAAATGATCGAGGATTTCCACTTTTTGTAACAGGGTTAAAAATTTCACAGCTGGGCTCAAATATGGACACACATTAACCAAAAAGTATCTAGTTTTGGTTCTGTTTTTAGTTTGTAGGCCCCGTTTGGTTTTAACAGCTCGGTTTCTCTCAAGTGTCTTTCACATCTTGTTCCTGTTCACTTTTATTGTATTTGTTAAGACTTTGGCATTTGGTCATGTTTTATTTAATCACTGTTCGTCTGATCAGGACATTCTCCCTGTGTTTGCTGGTGTTTTGTCATTTCCTCATTAAGCGTCTATTTTTATTCTTCCCTGCAGCTGTTCCACATTCATTTAATCTATCTCACCTGCTCCCACTCCACAAATTACCTTCCCAGTATTTATGCTCCTGATTTGTCCTCTGTCTATGTCATGTATTCCAATTGTTTACACGTTTCTTGCCATGTTGTTGTCTCCATTCGCCTTTTGTTGGATGTGACCTGTATTTCTTCTGTGCAGTAGGGCTGTACGTGTTCTCTGGTTTGGGGGTTTTCACCATTTTGAATATGTAATTATATCCCTGTGTGGAACAGAGAAAATTCTGAATAAGTTCAAAATTGTACACAAAGTTCTTGTTTTATTAAATTAAGTGAAGTTTTTGGTAATCAATCCACCCAGGTAAAAGAGCAGTTCAAATAAATCAGCCAATGCATTTGATGAGTGCATATAAACTACAGGATACCACCAGATGTTCTCCCGGGGATGAAGGTTGGTATTTTTGGGAAAAAAAAAATAGTGAATAAAATGAGACAGATAAAGACAGAGGCTTTCCAGCTTCTGCTCTTGTTTTTTCTGAGTGAGGTGAAGAAAAGCTGAGTGATAGACAAGGCGAAAGTGTTACATGTGGGTGTGAAGCACATGGCGATGAAAGAGCACAGCGAAAACTTCTGGTCAAAAGGCGGAGAGACTCCTCTGGATCGGCGGGTTCAGAGAGAGTAGCGCAGGATTAGTATGGGTACTCACTCTGCATGCACAGCCCGTCGGTGCAGTTCTTAGACTGGAGCACCACGCCCTCACAGTCCTTCCCTCCGTTTTTGGGTGCCGGGGCGTTGCATTCCCTCCTCCTGTAGTGGGTGCACTCTGTCCCACAGGTGGACCACTTACTCCACTCTGTCCACAGGCCATCCACTATCACACAGTAGACAGGACATGGATGAGGGTCGAATGAGTGAAATGAGGAAGACGGAGACAAATGAGCGCATGAGCGGGTGAGTGAGTGGAGTTGATTGAAACAGCGAGAATAGGTACATGTAAGCATGGAGACACAATATGCAAGCACAAGTTGCATCATGTTATGCAGTCAGTTCTTGTGCTGCTGAACCCTTTTTAGCCCATAAATAAGTGGGTGTATTGTTTTGTTTTGTTTATTTGTTGTTGTTGTTGTTGTTGTTGTTGTTGCCATACCTGGGCAGAGAGGATTGCATGGCAGCTTCTGGATGCCCTGTCCTTCACAGATTGAACCTCCGTTCAGAGGAGCTGGGTTGGTACAGCTGCGCGTCCGTTTCTGGTAACCGCGGCCACAGCGGCTGTTACACACTGACCACTCTGTCCATGTTGACCATCCACCATTTACTGAAAAAAAAAAGGTTAAAATAGGCTTCAACTGAGGAGCATGAACAAATGAATTAAATAAAAAGAGTCATCTGGTGATTAAAGTGATAGATGGGGATCATCCAGTAACTAATCAATGATTAGTAGTTTGTAAAAATAGAGACTGGAAGCACAGAGGGTTAAGAAGATTCTAGATATATTTTCTACAAAAACCTAGACTCTTCACTCAGGCTGTCCTATCTTTCCCCCAAAAATGCTTTCATATCCCACGATGGTTCTACGAGGACACCAATGTCCTCAAGACAGTTAGGAGGTTAAAGTCCAATTCTATGCTGGATTAGGCTGGATTAGAGAATGTCGGCAGTCTTTTGGAAATGTTAATGCAAAGGTCTACTTACTCTGCACAGACCAATCAAAGCTGTGCTCATTTAGCTAATTCTTAACGCAGGAGGCTAAAGGTATTATAAAATGTCAACTCCATAATAATTTTGAATGACTGAATTGCTGGCAGAGATGTTTACCAGTATCTGCTCTCGCGTAAATCGGTAGCATCATCCTAATTGGGTCTGCGTGGCATCATGGAAATATGATGTAACTGTAACAGCACTGCTGAAAGCTACAATGATGATATTACTTATGAGTCAAAAGTACGACCCACATATTTTTGACTCTTTTTTTGGCCATCTCAGTGTCTTTCCACCACTCTCTGCATCAATTAGACATGATACATTAATACTAATATGCTGTAGCCTCCTTTATGGTTAAAAATATATATCAATTTAACATTAAATAAGAGGGTTTTCTCTAAAATATTAGGTTAAACACAAATGTTGTTTTTGTGAAGTAAAAGAATCCACTACTAAGAAAGCTCATGTCCAGTCATGCTTGCATAATATAACATGTTTTAACTGTTCAGATTTTGCATTTGGGCCGTGACAATCTTGGGTGATTACTATCTGATGCGGCCAGCGTGTCAATTTTGGTCCAGTTGCTGCCTTTTCCATTCACTGATTCCTCCTAATGCCTCTCTTACCTCCCTCATCCATCTCTGTCGGCAGCTAAATCCAGTGCAGAGTGACACCAGGGCTTGTGGCTGAGAACAAGTCTGCGGCATTTGAGATGGTGAAACCGGGCCCCTCGGAGCCAACAACTTTCAAATGTGACATGGTGAGTGGAAAACCCCCTCTTAAAAAACATTGGTCTTGAAGGAGAGCCAAGATTTCTGCGCTGTCTTTTTCTTTTTCTTTCTTTCTTTCTTTCTTTCCTACGGGGGATTAGAGCTCCGTCTTCTCTCCTTCGCTCATTGTCTCTCTCCAAACCCAGATTTTGTTGTCATCTCCTCTTCCCAGTGTCCTTTTTGTGAGTTGGTTTGGAAATACTGCAAATCCATCTCAGTTCCCCCCCCCCAACAATCACTAGTATCAAACAACTCTCCCTCATCCGTAGGGTATTTCCATCCTGCTGCATGGGGCAGTATGAATACTTACACATGCAGCACAATTGTACTTGAATGTATGAGTATCCCATCTTTGAAATGAAAAGAATGAGCTGACATCAAAGCACTTTTTTGACACTTAATCCTAAAAGACTGTGCTGGTGACATGAAAGCCTTGTGCCTGAAATCTGCTCTCCTACATTTGTACATTACTGTTGCACTGATCCCCAAATGGCTACATTATTCTCAGTATCCACTCAGCTGTGAAAAATAGTTGATAAACAAAAACAAAGTCCCTCTATGAATGCAACACCACTTGCAGGTCCAGGAGAGAGTCGGGGATGGAAGGAAGAGATGAGAAGATTATGGATTTGAAACTTCACCCTGGTGGCAGTATCGGTTGCAAGCATCTGGTCACTTCTGTATTATTTATGTGTGTCTACTGCATCTGTATTTAAAGGACATTTATCATGTTGTTTAACCCTCGAAAGCCTTCCAACTTGAAAGTATGAAATATAGTGACACTGCTGTCTTGCAAAGCATTTAGAAACAGTATAAAGCAAAAAGCACCATAAGGTTTTCAGAAAAGAAAAGACTGCTATAGTGTTTATTTAAGATGCTGTTTGTAAAAAAAGTTAGCTGTCATTAAATAAAACCGGTAACAGTGGAGAGACATGGGGCAGAAATTGCATCAACTGGAAGGCTGACAGAGTTTTTTTTTCTTTTCCTTTCAATTACAATTTCTATCATCAGCCATTACTTAAGCTTGCCACTGAGCGTTTTCAAATATCAGGTTAGAGTGCTGGTCTGTTACCAAGACAACATTTCTCATGATTCTCTCTTGCTCACTGGGTAAAATGAGATATAAATCCTCCACCTTGTAAGATCCCAAAACTTTCATCTTGGTTGGCTATAGTGGTATGCAATCATGATGGGAGTTTGGTTTTCCCTGTGTGACATTATCCCTTTTCTGCAATTTTTAGTTGAGTTCTTGCATATCTTACAATCCTTTTCGCTGTTGTACATATTTTTCAACAGAAGACATGGAAATTTACATAGCTAGGATAGACTAAAAGCTGAAATACATATGATAAAAAAAAAGTTATCAGAGGTATTCTTATAGAGTATAATAGCTGTGAGCAGTTTGCAGTCTGGAACAAATTGAACAAAGAAGACAGAAGCCGTAAGTTGTGATTAATTGAGCTATCAAGCTATTTTCACTCAAACACAACGATATTGTATCTAAAGAACATTTGTTTTATGTGTCATTTGTTCAGTCTTGAGCCTCCTACACTTGCTGGAGTTTATCTTTATAGCCATGCTGTGCGGTAAGAACCAAGCTGGTTGATGTTGGGGAGACGGTAGCTGAGGCTATGCAGGAGCCACAGCGGGGGTCTCTTTAAGAACGGCTCAGCTACATCTACACCTCTCTCACAGTTCAGAAAACCGTAAATCCTCTGCTCCCCACACACCTTCCGGCAGAAACAAAATGAGCGAATGTTACTCTCTACGGGTGACAGACTGATTCCCACTTCGCGCACAGCGTCTTTGAAATTTGATTTATTTTGACTTGAGCCGACCTCGTGACAGGATTCAACACTTTTTCCTCTGACTTCACAAACCTGTCATGTGGCTGATGTGGAAGTTTTTCAGATCAAATGGCTGAGCTTTTGAGTTGGTGAATTATCAGATTAACACTGTCAAAAACCGTGAGCATTACTAAACTGTTTGAAAGATGACAGAAGAACTGAGTTGGAGTTATGAAAAGTTGGAACCGGCGTGTAAGACATGAGTTTTACCGTAGACAATAACTGTGGCGGTGGTGCTGCGTCTTTTGGCCACAATGTTCTTCGCCACGCAGGTGTAGTTGGCGGTGTCGGAGAGGCGGGCCTGTTTTATTATCAGGTTGTGGTCGATGGTGATGTAGAAGTTTCTGTCGTCTGCAGGATCAATAACTTCTTCATTCTTTAGCCACTCCACCTAAAAATGAAATGGAAAAAAATTATAAAAAAATAAAAAAATACAACAGCCAGTATTTTGGGGTGAAAAACATGAGCAGTAATGGTTTTATGTATTCCTACATTGAAATCAGCAGGGATTTATATTGCTTATTTTTTCCCCATCTAGTGCATACGCTGAAAGAAAATATGGTTGTACTCTGCAAATGGCTTACAGAAGTAATGACGCTGAATTTCAATGCTAAGCTAAAGACTATCTGTGACCAAATGTAGTTCAAAATTTGAATAAAATACATAGAGTGGTCAAACTTAACCTGGATTATGATGCACTGAACACAGATTCTTTAAAATGCAGTTTAGGACTTCTGCTAGTCAAAAACAGTCACTAAAAATCTTTTAGATATGTTTTTGGTGACAGGGCAACCTAAAACTGACACAAACAAAACAATCACAATATGTAAACAAGTCATTTGTGGACAATCCTAACTAAAAAAACAAACAGACTACAGTTGGTTAGAACGGGTTCTGTGCAGCAACAAGGGTCTGTGCTTAAATCCAAGCTGAGCGTCTTTTCTGAATAGGATTTCAGAAGTTGTCCCGATGTATGTGTCGGTTCTCTTTGGGGGCGTTGCCCTTGTTCCACAGTCCAAAAACATGCAGGACGGGTTAAACATCAACTCTAAAGGTGTGACAACCCAAACACTCTTGCAAAGATTTACGCAGTCAAAAACAATGAATGAATGCCTGGATATCTACGTAGGTGAAGAAAAAGGGGCTCGACTATGGCAGCATTCATGCAAGAACCGCCACTGGAAAAGACGATAAATAACAGACAGAATGACCTCATTAAATTATAGGAGAAACACTCACAATCGTTGAAGCATTTAAACTGCCATAGTTTTTCCTGTTTCTGTCCAATTTCTCAGATAGCAGTGAAAGCCAGGATTACAGCACCGTTGTTTATGTCTCAGAGGTCTGACTACAAAAAGTCAATAGCTATCATGCTCTTTTTATTCCTCCCCAGAACTAAGCACTACAGTAACAGCAGCATTGTCAGGCAGCGGAGAAAGGCAAACTCTCTACAACTGCGAAAGCCAAGAGGCTCTCTGACCTTTCCTTATGAGTTTCATTTCTCTGAATCACTCCGATATTGAACTCCCGGCTCCATCGCGGAACAAGGAATCATTTGGGGCCTTTATTTGACTGTAATTCTCCAAGATCCCCCCTTTTCTCTTTAAGAGGTGTGAAGGTTCAGAGTTTTTTTTTTCCCCCTTTCTTATTCTTCAAAAGAACAACACGTGCCTTTCTCGCTTTCTGCAGTCACTTTGATTCAGACATATTTCCTGGGTGTTTGGTTTTCTTCAAAGGAACTGTCCAGCGATGAGGACGCCTGGCAAACAGGCTACCTTCCTGTGCATCGAGGTACCCCGCTAGGAGTGGGACTTGATGAGGAGAACAGACGAAGATAAGGCTGGATGATAAGTCCTTCTGAGGGGAGATAAAGTATCTCCAAAAGTGGGGCAATAACCTGATATGAGTCCTGCCAAGACAAAACAGCCACTGTTGTTGGATATCTACAGAAACACCATCTGACGCACAATTGGCCATTGTTATAAGACCACCACTGTTAGAAGTCTCTTGAAAGAGAAGATTGACTGATTTGTGAAAATGCACCAGGTGCTACGCTTGAAGCGGGGTACCAGCTCCACCACTATCTGCCTCAGTCTGAGGTGACAAACATTAAGAGACCGCCTGCGGCATAACACCTCTGCAGAACGCCTGCTTCCTCTCATCCAGCGGGAACACGCTGAATATGCCTGAGAAAAAAAACAACAAAAAAAACTTTCCTTAGCGTTTCACACTAAACGCCTTTCAAATCAAGGTGTGCAACATCAACATGATGCATCTCATAACACTCTACTCCCACAGCATACCTGAGTCTCAACAAACAGCGGGTGTGAGTTTTATATGAGCGGCGGTTTACAGTAAACCTCCATATTCTTGATGCGTCTTCTCTGCAGATTTGGTGTTTATGAGTGTTTTCCTTCATAAACATGTATCAGCCTAATCAATTTCATGGAGCCAGGAGGGATACGATTCCACCGCTGTCTGTCTCCAAACGGAAACTAAACCTTTCGCTTATTTGATTTTGCTGCAATTAAATGCAGCATTATTTTTATTGCAAAGAATGGAGGATGCAATAAACTGTCTATCACCAAGTTTGCTGGGTTAAAATGTAGGTTTTCATATAAAGCACTGATAATTTAAGGCAGAGCTCATTTGAGCTCATGCTGTTTGAATAAAAAAAAAAACAAACCAAGAGAGACATGAGCAGTGTAACGGCAAAATATGTCTTTTTACCCATTTGCAATGTTGCTTTACTTTAATTTTTTGCATAGTTATTCATTTATTTTTAAAATTTAATAATTAGGTTAACGAATTAAAAATAAAAAAAAAACTTCTCAAATACTAATGCTTAAAAGGCTTTCTCCTAAGAATATTAATGTTTTACTCAGATGAAGACCTTGTACATTTAGAGATTTAAACTTCCCTGAAACATTGCAGTGCTGGAACTATTTGGCATTAAAAAAAAAGTAATTTGTTTTAATCTCATTGGAAATGATATAAATATTTTGAACTTGGCCAAACAAAACCCAGACTTGAATTTGATAGAGAATCTGTGCAGGGATCAAAAGATTAGGACGATAACAAGGAGGCCTGATAAACTCAAAAACGGTTTCATTTAAAATCTGGCAAAGGTACAAATAATCTTGGGTTTACTTGAAATCAAAGAGAAAATCTCATTCAGTTACCCATTTTCCTGATCATCATACATGCAAACGTTGTAAGCTACAGCGCACTGTAATAAAAAAATCTATATACAAATGTATATTTATCCCATTAGAAATCTGATGATTGGATGCAAATTACTTTGTTTGTAGTTGTGTTCTTATCAGTTTTAATCTGCGCCAGCCAAAGTTTGAGCTGGCTCTTGTGAAAGGTGATCATCTATACAATTTATAATTAGTCATCCTAGGCCACAGCGGCTAAATCTGCTCCTGCTATTTCATTTCAACTTACTTGTCCTGACACCTGCTGAAGCTGCAGGTGGACATCTGTCGTGATTTTCAGGAATTGAGCATCACATCGTCGGAGTTCAGTGATCTGCAGGGTCTTTTACTTTTATCGTATAATGTTATTAAATAGGTCTAAAGTATGTTTAGAAATAGTCAAGATTATAGAACAAAAATACCAGGAAACAACAACAGACTGCAAGTCATTTTTAAATAATATCTAAAAGCACGTAGGTGATAGGGGCTGGAAAGGCTGTTAGTGGATATTTGGGTTAAAATTAAATCTAGTCTTAATTCTGAATGAAAAGAAAAATATTCTGCCAGAAAGAGAGGGAGAGAGAAGGGCCCGGGAGTTTAGAGAACAAAGATTTGACAGTGATCTCATTGTCACTTTCTGTGTCTTTTGTTCTTGTGCTGAAAAAGTCCTGAATAGAACAAATTAAATGATGCAAACAAGAGAAAGAATGGGTCTTTTTTTTTCCTTTCTTTTTTTTTACTTGACATGATAAATATTTTCTCTTTTCGTACTTGCGTAAGTCGACGCTGAGAAGAAGGCGCTGGTAAAAAGCATCAGAAGGGGGTTTTTGGTGAGAAATAGAGATTGACAGTAGATACAAAGAGGTGGTTATCCAATTTTCACCAATCATAGAGGCAGACTTTCCAGACATGCTGCGTTCAGATGTCAAGAGCACTTTTACGGGAAAAGGTAATTAAAATTTGAACAAAAGAACCTTTCAGTGCAGATGGAGGGGCGGGAAGGAAAAAAAGAGTGACAAGGAAAAAGATTGTGGCAGAATTTTATGTTATAAACTGGAAAGCGTGAACAAAAGTAACAACAGATCACCAATATTTAATCCTGTGCCAAAAACCAAGAGAAAATGGCAAAACAATTTTCAGCAAATTTCACAAGATCAAAGTCTGCAAAACACTATAGCTCATTTTGCAATTCGCCAATCTTCTTTGATGCCAGCAGACGTAAAAGCGTGCACATGTGCAGATGCACAAACTTGCACGCCCATGCAAAGACACACTCTCACAGCTCGTTAGTGTCTGATTGGCAGCGAAACATCCAGAGGGGTAATTGGCACATTTCTTGTCATTAACGACCGGGAAATTGCCACATGTCAGCTGTCATCGGATACAGCCAAGTGACAGACAGCGAGATGGAAACTTAGACCCAGAGTGGAGGAGAGGAAGATGTGAAAAAAAGGAGCAATGCAGGGAAAAACAGAACGGAGACGGGGGAGCAGGTGCCTCTGTACGATAACAGTTACCACCGTTTCAAAATATACACTTGATCCATCATTGGAGAGGGTTGAGGATGGACATGAAAGAATAAAAGATGGGAGCGTTTTGGGGATTATAGGTGGAGCTGTGACGACCTAACTGGTTATCAGAAGAAGGTTCGCAATGACAGAAAAAAAACAAAAACAAAAAAAAAACATCATAATTAACCTAAAGCAATGAAAAAGACCAGCATGGTCAGGATCAAAATGTGTTGGACATCGTGAAAAGCAAAATAAATAAGCTGAACATTACCAATAATTTTAACTTTGTAAACCTAACTACTTTTTTTTATTATGACTTTACGTGATAGTCCAACATAAAGCAGCATGTGCGAAGAAAATCTTGATTAGTTTTAGTCTTGAACAGTTTATATATGCTGTATATTTTAGTCACCGTGAGTCAGTTCTTCGTAAAATCATCATTTGCTGCAAGTGCAGCATCGATCTATGTTTCTGCCAGCTTCACACACCTGAAAGCATAAGTATTTGCTCACTCTGCTTTGCAATATAGTTCAAACTCCCACGTCTGGATATCTGTGAACAAGTTTAGAAATTTTGCAGAAAATTCCTCATTAAATTTTTGTAATTCTGGCTGTTTGTTTATGTCCTGCTGGCAGGCAAACCTCTGCAACAGTCTTGAGACAGTCTTGGTCTTCTTCCAA